TTATGGGTATGCTAAAGGTATGTTATATTCAGAAACTATAAGTATAATAGTTATAATTAAAATGATAATTAAAAACCATTTTTGTAGCAAGGACAGCAATGCCAACAGGCTTCAAACGTCAATTGGTTGGACCCTACGCTACAGATACAAAACGTTTACGTGAAGCTCCTATAAAACCTTTTAAACCCAGTTCTTATTCTATTTTAAATAAATATAAATAATCGAAAAATATAATATTGCAAAAAGTGTAATGACAACCACAAAAAAATTTCAAACATTTTTATAATATCAATAAGTTGCAACTATAAATCCTATAAATAATGATTTAATAACTAATAATACATGTAAAAGTCGATTTACATATTTTAAATATTGCAAATATTATATATAACTTAGTTCAGTCAGGTAATTATATAAAACTTATTATTTTTTTCTTAAGTTTTGCATTAATAAGATTTCAGAAAAATATTCTGCTTCATAATGAGACAGTATGGCAGTATTTAACTACACAAATGTAGATCGAACTTAAAATTATCTATATTCTTTTAATCACATTATATAATATATATATAAATAACCTTACATTTAATATAATTTACCCAACAAACATGATTTATAAAATTTATTAAACATATAAATATTCAACAAATAAAATGAAAATGCATAAAAAAGCTTTATAAACATTCTATATACATAAATATAAAATATATATAACATAGATGAAAAATTTGGTATTAAATACGTTTCTTTTGAGACTGTTTTTACCTATAATGTGGAATGAACTTTATTTTTTTATACTTTTAAAATGAGATTTATATATATATATATTTATTTATTTTGTATTAAAATTTATTTTTATAAATAATTAATATTGAGATCGTTATTTGAACATTATTACATATTAATATGACTTTTTAAAAAGCAGTAGCTAATGGACAACTTATTTTATTTTTGTTGCTGTGGAATTCCCTCAATATTCAACAAGGTAAGCAAAAGGTAATGTTTTTTATATAGTTCTATACAAATATATAATAACTTATTTAATTGCAAATTAATGAACTAATTCAATAAATTTCGTATACATAATATTGTTGTTTCATTAGAAGTTTGTTATTGCGTCTATGGTTTAACTAGTTTTCGTTAACAGTAGGAAACTAAATATTTTGGTCTTAAACGTTTGCATTTAAACTTTTAAGAGAATGATAAATGGTACATCCAAAAATTTAGTGTGACAAAGACAATCTTGCAACCTTCACATGAAATGCATAGGACTTGCCTTTTATGGTAATATGCCACAGAAACTGTTTATCCTAAAAGAGTACAATTAGGTAATCTAAACTACATCCGTTTATTCATATCGCAACAAAACTAACATCAATCGAGTGTCAAGTCTTTTTATGTCGAATCAATGCCTTTCGAGACCACGTTTTCATTGTGGGAATAAGCCTAGGTTTTCAATAAGCCTACGTCTAAAATGTAAATATTTCCCTATGAAGTAAGGAGTGTATGGTTCACTTGAGGTGACGATATAGCTATATACTAAACATTCACTTACATTACGTCTATAGCCAGTTCACATCACAACTGTAGTTTTACTTCTCCTAATTTTGCTTATCTGTTTCCATGTTCAATCACATGAAATCGAAGTATGGTTTTAACTCATCGCAAAGATTTCTCTTTTCAACGTAGGCTAGTTTCAATAACCAAGTTTCGTCCGACTTTTTTCCTTTTTCATCATCATCTGCACAAATCATATTACTCCTCGTATTTGTTGTGTAATCCACTCATGTTTTGAATCCACACGTCTATTACGGTTGCGACTACATTTCGGAGTCATTCATCAGCTCTGGCGACCAAGTACCGCTTATATAGGCTGCGGGATAGAACAACATTCAAATTAAGCTAGCTTGTCTCTTTTAAATTTATCCTAACTCTTCAGGCATATTGTAGAGATATTTACATTATCGTTATTTAGAAAAAAATGCTCATTTTAAAAAATTCATAAAGATATAAAGCCAATCTCAATTCACTTGACGTGCTGAACTTGGTGTAAATCTATGGTTTAAAATGCAACTAAGGATTAAGGGGAAATTATAGGCTAACTACACCAAAAATTTACCAAAATAAGAATTAATAAAAAACTGCACTTAAAAATATAAAAAATGTCTTTAAAAATTGTTTGTACAATAGTTTTAAACTATATAACTTAAATTATATAAATATCAGACATGGTACATTTTTTACACTATAATCATTTTTATGGTAGATAATTTGTATGAGAATAACATTATTACAACGTAAGCTTATATGTGTTATGAATTACTGGGTACACTAACATTTCGTGTACCCAGCAATTATATTCATTGTAAATTACTTTTACACACGAATAATTACATTTAGCTACAAAATGGCAATTTTATTAAAATTATTTAAGTATTAGATTCATGCACATTTTACTCGGGTATAATACTTAAGGTTGATACGGTATATGATAATACCCACCACACTCATTCAGTACTGTACTAGATTATGTTACGGTCAAAAATCGCCACATACCGCAACAAGTACAATTATTCATGGTACATAGCAGTCATTTTAGTGATGAGTGAGAGAAGAGAGTGAAAAATTGACAATAAAATAAATATGTCAATTTTTTATAAGATTATTAAAAATATTATATAATAAAACTGAGAAGTATTCTGTAAATGCATGAAGTGCATTGCTCTAAAAACTGATAAGCACTGTGAGTATCACACCGCTTATACTTTGCTGTTACTGAAATGCGCAAAGGTATTGGATACGATAAAGATATATTATGGCGTCAATGCAGAACACTCGTTGGTGACTGACAAAAATGGAGATAGCCCTCTACTTTTCTATATAGCAACAAACATTATTACAAAAAGCTAGTTATTTGCATGTACATTTTTATTAAATTATAATAATTTTCACCTTCATTTTTAATTATTTTTGAACGATATGTTAAGTAATTGTTTAGTATTTACTCAGAGGCAAGTAAATCTTATAGATGTATAGATGTATCTTATAGTATGTTCCCATTCCCTTTATTAAGGCAGTTTATTTGATGAAGATCGCTAATAAAGTTAATTAACCGTACTAGAGCGTGATTAAGGTCACTAATGAAGTTGATTAACCGTACAAGAGCGTGCTTTTCAACTTAGTATAAAATAAATTAAGGGAAATTGCAACAAAAATGACGAATGCAATATTATAAAATATATTTCCCGAAAAAGAACTTATCGAAATTTGACAGATGAAATTAACCTAACGGATCAGGTTACGTTATGTTAATCTGGCTAGCTATAAAGTCATACAAAGGCATATTAGATCCTTCGGATAGAGTTAAACATTTACACATTGTAGTAGACATTTAAACAAATTTAAAGAGTGTTTGAAGCTTTATTTCTGAGACAGTGGCACTAAACATTTTTCAAAGATTTTTTTTTAAATCTTGAACAATTTTAAGCATAAAGTTTGTTCATAAGTATTGAAAAGTTCTTTATAGCATAAAAATGCATTCTCTTGCATATATCAACTGAGAGAGTAAGTGGGAATTTAATGACATTTTGTTCATAATTTGAGTATTAAAATATGTAACTGTGTATTATCTGTCACAAAAGCTGTGTTGAAAGTTTTCTCTTCGTAACAAAATCAAGTTTAAATTGTAAATCCCTTTTGCAATCAAAACTCTACAGATGTTATTTTATTTGAATTGTCATTTATATAAAATCTACTTTAAATTAAATTCGTAATTCACAATAATACAATCTTACACCAATATTGTATATAATTCGCAATATAGATTGCGAATTGCAATTTACGAACGCAACTACAAAAATAATTATGAAAATAAAATAATTATAATATAATGCTGTATGAATATGTTTTTAGAAGAGAAACTTGAATGAACTCGATTACAGTTACTTGCGCTGTGTGAATAGGCACAAAAATCTAACCATTTTTACCAAAAATTTTGCACTGACTTAGACTTTTATAAGATTCAGCTAATACTAATTATATTGAAAAATGCATTTACTCAAAATTTTTTGAACGCTTCTATTAATTATATCATTTTTTTCAGTGTTTTAGTATATAAAATTAATGAAATGCTTAACAGCTCTATCTAATTAGTGATGATATTAAAAATTTAAATTTTAAAAATATTGCATCATGTAAATTATAGCTAATATATATTTTTTTTCTTTTGAAACGAGCGAATTTTGAAGATTACTATAGAATATAGTAGTTATATTGCTTTAAGTTAGGTTAGGTTAGGTTACTGGGGCCGTCCGAAGACTCACTTAGACCATAAGGTCCATTGTGATACCCTAAAGAATTTAACATCTGTCCCTATAACCACTTGGTATTGGCTACAAAGCCATTGACACGAGCTATGGAAATAGAATCTAGCTCTCTTAATGAATAGAAAAAGTGCGACCCTAAGTAGGATAGTCTATGTCTTGCGAAGGCAGGACACTGTAGCAGAAGATATTGCTTTAAATAATATCTAATTTTTTTTTTATTTATTATTAATTAGTTTTTAGCTAATATTTAGCTAAAAGCTAATTTTTTTGAAACTGACTATAGAATTTAGTGTTTTAAATAAAATGTAATTTTTTTTGTTACTTTTTATTAATTAGTCTTTAGCTTAAATTTAGCTAAAAACTAATTTTTTTGAAATTGACTATAGAATATTGTTTTAAATAAAATGTAATTTTTTTGTTACTTTTTTTTAATTAGTTTTTAGCTAATATTTAGCTTAAAGTTAATTTTTTTGAAGTTGACTATAGAATATAGTAGAAATATTGTTTTAAATAATTTATAATTTTTGAAAATAATTTAAAAAGTTTGTTAATTAATAATAACATCTTAACGTTTGATATAATTTAAAATAAATTCAATTTTTAAATAAAATAAGTAATTTAATGTACGTATGTACAACTTGCAAAAAAGGAACAATTTACTACGTTTAGGTTTAAACACCAACACTGAAAATACGCCGACGTTCGTTGTCCTCCTTTCACCACTATCGAATGTTTCTGAATACATTTGCCTGGAGTTAGCCGTCGTTTGTGCAGGAAAAATCGAATCGGTGGAGAGGAAATATTTTATTAAAGTGCAAATTTTTCTTGCTTTAGTTTAACTGTAATATTTTTAATAAGGTAAAGTTTTTGACTGTGTAAAGAAAGTAACTTTATTACGAGAACTTCTAACATCTATTATTAAACAATATTCTGGTGCAAGCAGTGAAAAAAGTTATACGTATGTGTATGTACATATAATGAAAAGCGTGTATTAATAAAAAAGTGAAAGTGCAGGATAATTGAAACTATGTGTAGAGATCTATGAAATTAAAAAAGAAATCAAATATCAGATACACACATTTACGTATATTAACTAGTTACACTAAAGCTGTGAAACGTCCGTCTGCTGATTTTTGTAACTCAACAATTCGCACTCATGCATACATATAAATGCAACAACACAACACATACTGCATTAATTGCACTAGACAGAAGGCAAATGTAGATCGTTACTTCGACATTTTCGTTTATTTGCAGTGGGGTAATGCGTGCGTAAAGAATACATTTCAAATGAATTTAATTAAAATTAAATAAAATCCATACGGAGTTGTCATAATAAGTTTATTTTGAAGTTTTGTTTGGGTTGCACACACATAGAAGTATACACAACATTTTTTTTTTTTTTTGTAAACATGTATTAAGATATATGTATGTATTCTCGTCTAAAAAAAAGTTTTAATTGATTTGAAATAATTTATATACTCATTAGTTTTATATTAATTTAAAATTATATGCATACATATTTGTAAATATATATATATATGTGAATTTATGTATATGTTTATATTTCAGGTTTAGACAACTTCTGTTTTTTCCTATCATAATTTATTGAATTTTAAAATTTTTTTTATTTTTTTTGAAATTTGACAAGATATTAAAGTTGGTAATTTTGCTCCGTTTGTTTCTTTATTGAAGAAACTAATATTTTCTGCACATTGAGTGCTTTTTTGTGATAATATATTGCTGACAACATGACCGATGCTTTTGATGGCAACGGTGATTACTCCCCGTACAATGATGACGACAATGAATATAGTAAACAACGCAAAAGTGGCGTAGGCTCCAATACGGTGCCACATAATGGCGATAACACAAATCATGTCTCATCTGGAGGTCCCGGCGCCTCTGGTGATAGTGGGCAGTTAAATGAAAAGGCTAACGAGTACATTCGCGACTGTTTAAGTGAAAAAAATCGAATGGATAGAAAATTTCCAATTGCTGAAAAACTTCTGGAATGTGGTGAGTCTATTTGGTATTGAATTGTTTCCTGTGAATTTACTTTAAACTTATTTCTTTAAATATTCTAATTTAAAATTTGTGTTTTTGGATGATTTTTTACAATTTTCGGGATTCGGATTAATGTGAAGTTTACTACTTCTATTAATTTTTCTACTAAGGTGTATGTCGATATAGTTTGGTTCTCAAGCTGTCGGTCTTGAATGTCGTAAAACTTTAATTACATAAACAAAATTATACATACTAGTTGCCGCAAGTTTTCTCATCTAATTGTTTGTGGAATCTATATAAAAATATATGACTTTAAAACTGGGTGTCTCGAAACACCAGGGTTTTACTCTTACTTTTACATATAGACAAAAGAAAAAATTAATTCAAAGGTAAGAGATGGAAACCGTTATTTATTCTTATATTGACATATAGATAAATGGAAAATATTCAAATATGTATAGATGAGAAGCGCTACTCTTATATTGACATATAGGTTAATTGAAACACTGATTCAAAGATAAAGCGATTAAAATTAATACTCTTATATTGACATATGGATTAATCGAAAAAATAATTCAAAGATGAATAGATGAGAAGCGCTACTCTTATATTGACATATAGATTATTTGAAAAAAACTCAAAGATAAAGAGATTAAAATTAATACTCTTATATTGACATATAGTTTAATGCAAAACATAATTTAAAGATGAATAGATGAGAACCATTACTCTTATATTGACATATAGATTAATTGAAAAAAACTCAAAGATAAAGAGATTAAAATTAATACTCTTATATTGACATATAGTTTAATGCAAAACATAATTTAAAGATGAATAGATGAGAACCATTACTATTATATTGACATATAGATTAATGGAAAAACTAATTAAAAGATAAAGAAATTAAAAATATTACTCTTATATTGACATATAGATTAATGGAAAATATAATTCAAAGGTGAAGAGATGAGAACCATTACTCTTATATTGGCATATAGGTTTATTGAAAGATAAAAAGATTGAAAATAATAATCATATATTAACATATAGATTAATGGAAAATATGATTTTAAGGTCAAGAGATGAGAGGCACTACTCTTATATCTTATATATTGTATTATCTTATATAGATTAATTGAAAAATTAATTCAAAGATAAAAAGATTAAAATTAATACTCTTATATTGACATATAGATTAATGGAAAATATAATTCAAAGATAAAGAGATGAGAAGCACTACTCTTATATTAACATATAGATTAATTCAAAAACTAATTCTAAGATAAAGAGATTAGAATCAATACTCTTATATTGACATATGGATTAATGGAAAAACGTATTTTAAAATGAACAATTCACATAAATACAGAAGAGATTTTCTTAACATCGCGATTTAAAGACAAATTTTGTTAAAAATTCATTATTTTAAGCAACTTTTTTGACTGTATTATATGTTGATAAAGTTAGATTTTCACGATGTTGGGATTTAATTCTGTATCTTAATTAGAAAAAAAAGAGTAGTCACGACATCTAAAAAGGTGCCAAATGTCTCAAGTAATCTAAATAGCTTATTGTGAAAAACAAAATAGCTATAGGAACCAATATTACAGTGATTATTGGTTATAGGACCCAATAAACACGTTCTACATCCAATCTTATTGTGTATGTTTTATCATCCTTATCTGGACTTGATTTTCAAGTCGGTATTGGTTACAACAACAACAGAACCTGTTAGTCTTTTATTTATAATTAAATAAAATAAATAAATAATAGATTTGTTTCAATATAAATATTAATTATTTTAATTGAGTATAGCAACAAAAATAAAGTAATGCATTGATATAAAACAATCGTCCAAATTTCAATTGACAGTATCACTAGATAGGTAGGAACGTGTTGTCATTAGCGTCCATTTTTTGGAAACATAACCCTAAAGGCTACATTACATTAGCATTGTGGCACCGCATTCGAACTATTCGGTATCAAGCACCTCATCAGAACTATTAGATCTGAAATACTAATTGGATATAATATCTTTTCTTGACGCATGTCTGCTTATCCTGTTACCATGTTTCCTCTTCGGGAGGAAAAAAGTTTCGGTAACTTTGTTTTTCAACAGGTATACCGGGTAGGTAAACATGTTGATTCCAAAACTTATCTTTTTCTCTTAGAGACATATTCTTGCCTATAAGTTTACAGTTCGCCTAAAGCAAGAATCAGATATTGTGATAAATATATGTACATATATATTTATTACAAAATATTTAAGTATTATATTTAAATATTTAAAAAATCATTTTAAATTTAAAATAATAACTTATTTAAGAGTTTTTTTTAACATAATAATTTAATTATAGAACAATCGAAATCGTACTGTAGTTCTTACTTTGTAATTGATTTTATTCTACATTATGTATTTACCTTCTTATATTATTTTTTTAGAAATTGAAAAAGTTCAAAGTACAGGACGTATACCCTCACGTGAACAGAAATATGCCGATATTTACCGTGAAAAGCCAATTCGAGTATCACAGAAAGTACTTGTTCCAATACGGGAGCATCCAAAGGTATTTACAATAATTTAAAATGCAATTATGATTTTTAATTTAATATATATATTTAATTGACAGTTCAATTTTGTTGGAAAATTGCTTGGGCCTAAAGGTAATTCACTAAGACGTTTACAAGAGGAAACTCTTTGTAAAATGACTGTTCTTGGACGTAACTCAATGCGCGATCGTGTAAAGGAAGAAGAATTACGTACCTCTAAGGATCCTAAATATGCACATCTAAACAGTGATTTACATGTTGAAATTTCTACAATTGCTCCACCAGCTGAGGCTTATGCGCGCATTGCATACGCAATGGCCGAACTTCGAAAATATTTGATACCAGATAGTAATGATATTATACGACAGGAACAACTGCGCGAGTTAATGGATAGTACCAGCATTAATGAGAATGATGGTGGTAAGTCCACTTTTAAGAAAGCTTCACATACCCAAGGTACAGGTGGTGGAATAGGCATGACCATGAATACTTCAACTGGTGCTTCTGGTTCAAGTAATGTGTTGGGTGGCGGAAATAAAAACATACCCCATCATGGATATAATAGGTATGCGTCTACTGATCGCAACTTCAATTTTTTCGCTTTATTCTTTATGTTATGTTACAGAGCACCACAGCAGAATCAGTTTAGTAAAAACTCGGTTGCTCCAAAGCAAAAGGTTTTGTCGATTTTAGAAAAAGCAAGAACTGCAATGGATGAAGGATATGGGTATGCCCTCAAAACATTTTTAGTTTTGTTTTTGCCATTAAATACAATAACACTTTATTTGCAGCCGTAGTTATGATGATCATATGCCGTACGAAACATCTTATGATAGCTACTCCTATGGACACGCTCCACCTCATACTCACCCATCACAGGCGACTGGCATGAATTTACCAAATATGAGTACACGTGGTCCGTACGATACTCAAGAATATGATTCAGATTTCAATAGACGTGATTATTATCAGCATTCGCCTAATTTTGGTGGTTAGTTAACATAGTGAAATAATTGTATATATCAAAATAAAATTAAAAAAAAAAACATTTAAATATAGCTGGTGCCGGCGTATCTCAAACAAACCAAAATACTGGTTTGAATCCAAATCATAATCGTAGTCATGTTAACAGGTGAAATTTATTAGGGTCTGGTCAAACAAATGTTAATTCTCTTGCAACACAAGTTACAACAAACTCTACTACCACCAAATGTAATAACAATACTGTTTTACCCCCACAGCATCAAATGCAATTACATACAAACAACTTCGGGGGCAACAACAATATAGTGAAGGTAATTGAAAATAACAGGATTTACAGAAGAAGAATTTACTAAAAAACATTTTTTATGTACCCTACTTTTATATTAGCAACATATGTCAGCAACAAATGTTCATCAACAACAGCAAAACCACCCACCGCCTACATCCAATCATGCACCGAACGGCAATATGCATAATATTCCCGGTTCAAATGTGGCTAATACCATACAAAATGATTGCAAAGCTTTTTCAAACATTAACCACCTAAATAATATATCCAATATTAATAATCAAAAAGCTCCGCAAACACAACCAACTGCTGCTGTTAATAATCACCTCCAAGGTCCCGCAGCAACTGCTGCTAATCTGCTTTTCGTAAGGTATTAAACAAAAGTTTGCTACTTACACCTGCTTACTTATATAAATAGTTAATATTAATTCGTTTTAAGAATATTACAAAAGAATGTAGTTTAATTTTAAGTTTAATAGTATTCTAATCTCATTTTATGCTTTCACTTTACCCCCTTCCAAACACCACACTCCATTGCCTAATTGATACCGTATATTATTAGTGCATAATTAGATTGTTGTTTTATTCCTTTATGTATAATTTTATTTTATAAATTAAAAAATTTTATTATTAAATTTTTTTAATATAAATATTAATATAAAATTAATAGGTAGGAAGCGTTGATTTTAGCGCATTTGCGCATTTGAATAAAATTTAATACTAATATAAAGTGGCAACCGTAAGAGATTTGCGCACAAAAATTTTTTCCCTTAATACTTAAAACTTATTGCTAATTTAAAATAGTAATCTTTTAGAATTTGCTTACAGTAAAATATCTTCCTTAATACTATATTAAGATTTTAGCGCCTTCAAATTAAATTTACTGCTCATTTAAAATGGTAATCTTTTAGAATTTGCTCATAGCAAAATTTCCTTTTTAAGATTATATTCAGATATTATGATATTCAAATCAAATTTACTGCTTATATAAAATGGCTTTCTTAAAGAAATTTCTTCCCTAATACTATATTAAGATATTAGCGCATTCAAATTAAATTTACTGTTAATTGAAAATGGAAATCTTTTAGAATTTGTTCATAGATAAATTTTCTTTT